AGTGACTCATTTGGGGGGGCATGGCCCGCGAATGACCCCCCATGACGCCGACCCTGCACTGTTGTTCACTGTGGTTTGTTGTTGTCTGAAGTCATGAACGTTAGTTGGTGCTCCAGTATAATCGGTACGCCTGAAACTCATCCAGTGAGAAACGTTCCGCGGTGCAAAAATAAGTGCGATTAAAATGCGTTAATTTTTTTAACGCGTTAATTTTTGTGTAATTAATTAATCTTAATTAACGCGTTAAAGTCCCGGCCCTAATTATTTTATTCTTTTAAAATGTTTTCCGGATTTCATATCATATAAACACCAAATCCCAGCATGCATTGCGGCTAAAACATCCAATAAACGAGCTTAAAACCATAGCTGAGGATCTTGGGTAATCGCTCGAAATGCCTACGTCTGTTTCCGGTTATTTTTATTTTGAAATTCAGTTCCTGACGGACGCCAAAAAGCCCGAGATTATGGAATTAAACCAATAAATAAAAGCAAGGATAATTGTGTGTTATTGGTGAGTAAAAATACAGATTTCAGTATCCTGAGGCTCTGAGCCCCATTTATTTCCCTCACCAGTTGCGAGCCGTCAGGGCCCTCTAGGCCCTCTGTGAGGGCCTAAGATATTCTAAAAAATAATATTTGAAAACATTAAAAAAAAACATTTAAAAAAAAATATTTTTTAAAATATTTTTTTGTTGTTACATTTTTTTATTGTTTATTGTTACACAATAACTTGATTTAATTGTATTTAAAATAATATTTCCAAAGAAATAAATCCTTCGAATCTGCCTGTTCAGTTTCTGTTGGAATGTGAAGGGTTAAATGCCGTCTCTGCGAGTTATGTGAAGACGGGAGAGCTTGTTGGTCCCTCTCTACATTCACAGAGGTAACTCAACGAGAGAGTAATGTCAAATGACAGTACAATTGACCAATCATATCTTCCCTCTAAATGGGCGGGCTTTATTTTCGCGGACTTTATGACAAGTTCCGCCCGCTGTGAGGTCTATGCAAGTGGTGCAGTGACGCGTCCTAAAACCCGGAAGTAAACTGCGCTCGGATTCCCTCGACAGAAAGCAGTGCGATTTCTCCATAGGGTTTTGGAAAATAGCTCGAAATAAGGTCTGTGGAAAACGAACCTGTTAGATAAATGCACGTTGTGTTCAGCCGGATAATATCCACATGTCTATCCTACTTTTACTATTTTTGAATCATAAATCTAATCGATAGATTTATGATTAGCATAAATTCGTTCATGATGGCTCACTTCAGTGATAGTGATGACATCGTTGCGAAATTATTAACCGAGTCATTTTCAAGATTGAGTTACAATGATAAACTGGAGTGGCAAAGGATCAGCTGAATGACCCGCCATCAAGTGCTTCATCCAAAAGGACAGGAGGATGGACTTTGTGTTTCAGTGATTTGATCATCAAAGGTAGGCCTAATAAGTCATTTTCAATGCGGGCCGCGGTGCCGACTTAATTCATTTGTAATTGTGGGTGCCCTGTCATGATAGGTGTTTATATAAATGGTGTTGTTTTCAGTAGCGTGGCGTGGGGAAAAATGTAGGGGAAGCCCATTTTTTGGGTCGGGGGGTGGTCAATAACGTAACCAGATGAGTGATTACAGCGCCCGGTATCATTTTACACACATTGGTATCACACAGATGCAGGACTTGCACACGCCTGTTATCTAACCGACAGGTCCGCACGCACTCTCCAGCTGAAACTCTCTCCTTATTAATTTAAGCATTTTACTTATTAATGTATGCAGACAATCACACAATCTATGTGATTTTTGGATTTACCGTGCCTCTCAATTGCCCGTGACAGGTTGGCAAAGTCGATGAATCCTGAAGTTGCCCAAGGATTGTTCAGGGAGCACGAATCCTTGTCAAAAAGAAGACATGGCCAGCAAAATAGACGCTGAAGTTTAGCGCTTCCAGTTAGCCACTCCGTGCGGACATAATTGTCCTCATTGAACGTCCGATTCTCTCCCTTTTTCCTCTGCGTACACACAGCTCGAGTGCGGGCATTTGCCTGTCATCTGATTTAATTTGTAGTTGCTGCTGTAGCGGAAGTTTAGTAAAGTTATGTTTGATTAAGTACGCCAAATCTCCACCCTCCATAATGCTTCATTTGCTTGATAATTTCTAACGGCGGTGATGACAGTTACAGTATTAAAACTGATGTTGATGTGATTTGATTGGATGGCAGTGTCCAATCAAATCGCCAGCCGCCAGCCGCCTCTGAAGGGAAGCAAGAGGCGGCTAGCTTCCCTTGGCATGGCCCTGACCAATCACAGGTTGGCAGGGGCATCACGTGGGCCTCATCTGATTGGTCAATCCCTCCATTTTTTTTCACCAAGGGAAGCTAGATTCGGCTGGCCTCCTCTCGCAACAGAGAGTGCAATCTACTGTTTCACCATAACATCTAGAGGGGCGCTGTTTGTTTCACTCTTTGTAAAATACTCAATGAGAATGGGGGAGAGCCGGGCCGGCAGCAACACACAGCAAAGGAGAATTATCGAAACAAAACAAAGTGTTTGTATTTATTTATTTAAATTATAACTACAATCCGAAAAAACAGGGGAAGCCTGGCTTCCCTTGGCCTCCGGGAGAAAACGCCACTGGTTGTTTTGTGTGGTAGAGGTTCGCTGTCATTGATGCGTTTTGCACCCCGGACCACTGTTTTGATATTCCGCTGAAGTCTACGTTGAGACGTAATATATCTTCTTTTTTTTTCGAGGGAAGGGGGGGTCAGAGGGCCTAGGTATAAAAGTCACGGCTCGCCACTGTTCCTCACAGACGGCAACAAAAGTCCAACATTATACGATTTCAAATAAAAGCAATAACTGTGGCTTGATATTGAGTAAGAACATGTTTTTATGAACCACACAGCTTCCGGTCTTCCTTTACCCGACCGGAGAAAAAGACGTGCTGCAGGCAGTAGAAATACATTGCTTTTAAAATCGTGCTGTGCAACACGAAAAAAAGGGGCAAATCGTGTTGGTGAACACGAATCAATAGATTAAAAATCGTGTTGGTGAACACGAAATGCCGCGAGACTGGGTTGAATATGAAGTGTTGTGTCTCTGCACAGCTTCCCTCCAGACTTCAGAAACTCCTTGACCAAAACACAGTGTATTGTACCAGAAACTACAAGCAGGATTGGAATGAGTCCACAACACTCCTGATTAGGGCTGCACGGTATTGAAAAAAACTGACAATGCGATTTCCCCCCCCCCCTGCGGTATATATTGCGGTTTTTTTAACCTGTTAAACCCCAAAGTCCCGGCGGGTACTTTACTTTTTTTTTCACGACAGTGTCTCAGGGGATCATCATATTTAAGAACCTATTAATGTGTTATACCAGATTAACGGAAATAATCTCAGCTAATTGACGATACAAACCATTTTTACCAAAACAAAACACAAGTCTCATAAGAAGCATCTAAATGACCCCTGAGCGAAAAATGCTAACGCACTTTGGCACAGAACTCAAGATAAAAGTACCCTTATTATTACTTATCGTAGCTGCATTTACAAGATATCCGATTAAAGCTGAGGTTCCACAGATTATTTAGGTATATAGTATCATCACTGAGTGATCTGAACTCGGACAGGGGAAGCAAACACAGACATCACAACAAGTACCTTTATGTAGCTTCGAGGGGAGATGTCTCTCACCGTAGCTGTCAATCTGATCAAAAGACGTGTTCAATGGCATTAAAACGAGAAAGAAAAAACGCGGCTCTATACTCAAGTAGTACTCAAGTAGTACTCAAGTACTACTTGAGTACACTTTAGTATACTTGAATGCGACAAAAAAGCACATTTATCCTAAAAGTGTACTTAGTAAATTCTTTAAAAAGTGTAATTTAAGCATAATATTTTTTTACCTGGGACAGTGCTTAGTACTTTATTACAGTAAATGAACCCAGGTACTTCACACTACTGAACTACAACACAACAAGTTTAACGTGAGAGCACACCAAATATCTGGAACAAACTCCCAGAAACCTGCAGGTCCGCTGCAACTCTTACTACTTTTAAATCCAGGCTGAAGACTTATCTTTTTGTCGCTGCTTTTAATTGAAACTGAGCCGTTGTGTTCATCAGTAAAGTGGAACTTCTGTGTGAACTATTCATATCTTAAACTGCACTGTAACTGTGTATTCATGTATTTTTTCTTTTAATGTTTCTTGTATTATCTTTGACTGTTTTTAAATGCCATTGTCTGAATGTCTTTCATTTTTGTAAAGCACCTTGAATTGCCTTGTGTTGAAAGGTGCTATATAAATAAACTTGCCTTGCCTTACCATAACCTCTCAGTAAATACAGTAATATCATATAATCCATTTTCCAACATTAAAGTAGTGTTGCAACCATTTTTACAAATATTTTCCAACCAGGATTAATTTTTTTCACAAGTAATGATTTTCTTAAATTGCAGAATTTACGTTCTAAAACTCTATAACACCTTCTTTTTCTGAAATTATCTTGGCTGAAAACATTATTATACAGACATTGTTTTTCAATGTTATTCTTTCTCAACAATCACTTTTCAATTACCTATTTTTGATATAAATTGTCTAGATAATGGACTGTTGTCTGGTGTTGAAAATCCAAATGTTGTGTCCCACAGCTCCTTAATCTTTCTTAGACAAAACAAGTACATACAAAATAAGGCTGAAGGTACAGCTGCATTTTCATTGTTTTGCACTGCAGGCTGAATGGGAGCTATAGATTGGAGGGGACCTGGAGCTCCTCCTCCTGACATGTCTGTTTGGACAGAAGCTTTGTCCCTCTGGGTGTTGGGCCTGTCATATGGTCATTAGCAGTGCAGCAAACTAAGAGGAACTTTATTTAAAAGTCTGTCTAAGAAAACGAAGTCCAGCATGCATTTTCTTTCTCAACAAATCCTAACAGGTGAGTTTGACATTTGTTTCAGCTCATCTTTAGAGCATGGAGTTTATGTGTACACACGTAAGTGGGCTACGAATTGTATGTATGGTTTTTATTTATCTGGGTAGAAGTATAGTAAATTACAATTGTCTCCTCACACTTTTGGTCATAACTATAGGTCATTTTCTATTCATTGTGTCCACGCTTTGTTTGACTATATTGCTATACCGACTAATTTGCCTTCTATGTAATAAGAAAGCATTATGTTACACTGCAGATTATTCTCAAATGTTAAATCTTTATTTTGAAAAGTTGAGGACAAAAGATGAAGGTTTTTGACTACTACAGTATAAGGCTAATATGTTGCCAGCTCACTTATTTTGTAAATGTAAATATCATTAGTGTTTTGTAAAATGTGCAGGTCAAATCAAATCATTACTACTTAAACGTGTGTTTGTTGCCTTGCAGGTGAGGTGGTCAGTGTGAGTGTGATCATAGAAGCTTGTCAGATCAATCTATGGTAGTGTGATTTCAAATTCTTCTATTTCATTACATGTATACAGGAATTATAAATTACATATTAATAATAGTCATTTTTTAAATAGAGAATCATTTTCTATTGGAACCTGAATACGTAATGCTCTCCAATGTATGTAATGGTTAAAAAGGCAGCATTTCAGTAGTGTAAACAAGTCTCTAAAAAATAATCACAAGTTTTTAATTTATAATAACAGAATATCTGCAACTTATCTAAGTGGTATCTTTTAGCATTCTGCCCTGCCCTGCCCCACCTCACCGGCCCTCTAAAGTTTTCCATTGTTCAACAGACACAGGAACAGATGAACCAGCACCTAATCTAGTCCCTTCTCTCAGTGCACAGAGAGAACAGACAATATCAGCCACATTACAGGGGCTGCTGCTCACAGAGCGCCTGATTTGAGTCACAAAATCAATCTCGACAGGGCGTAACCAGACTTCCTTATCAATTTGGAGTATTTCATATAGAGGCATTATTGCTAAGCTTGGTTTGAAGACTCAAAAGAGGTGTTTTTTTACATTGAAACAACACTTCACAGGATATTAGCTATGAGCAGTTAAACTAACCCGTTTTTTTTCCTTCTCTATCTGAATATATCATATTTTGCCTTACATTGGACAGAGCCAGGCTAGCTATTTTCCCCTGTTTCCAGTTGTTGTGCTAAGCTAAACAAGATAATGTCTTCTGCCTGTATTTTTGTATTGAATGGACAAACATAGTCTTCTTAATCTCTGCTAGAAAGCGAATGAACATTTATCTAAACATTTTGAAGTACACCTTTTATTATCTGGTGACCCTCCTCAGATGTATTTTGTAAGCCCTGAGGGTCCCTGACCACCAGATCTCAAGCTACAAGACTGGACTTTTAATTTGTAAAGCAAAGACATCTCAAATATCTAACTTTCCCAAAGTTTCAGAAATGTATGTTTACCACTTGTAAATGTATTTTTTTTGTTTCCTTTTATTTTTTAGCTCAGAGGAGCACACACTGCTACCTGGCATGTATACTGATCATGATCTCCTGCTCTGGACCAGCTTCCTCTCTTCACGGCCCTCCAGTGACTTCAAGTCAGAGTTCTGCTTTCTCTGCCACACGAACCAGCAGCATGGAGGGAGGCAAGCAGAAGGCGGTGACCTTCAACAGGCTCATGGTCAACATTGGAGGGGATTTTAACCCAGACACTGGGCAATTCCGTTGTCGCGTCCCCGGGGCTTACTACTTCTCCTTCTCTGTGGGGAAATTCCCAAAGAAAATGCTTTCTGTGATACTGGCGAAGAACGGAGAGGAGGTGCAGGCCATAGCATATGACGACTACCGCAAGAAAGGAAGGAAAATTCAAAGCCAAAGTGTTATGATCAATTTAAAGGAAATGGACACAGTGTGGCTGCTTTTGCAGCGGAGTCCTCAATATGCTTTGTACAGCAACGCTGGCCCTTACATTGCCTTCTCTGGTTACCTCGTATATCCTGACATCTCCCCAACCAGCTACATCAGCAACCATCTGTCCACATCAGGGCCGTCCTACCCAAACTGCCCCCCTCAGGCTGACCTCTTGTCCAGAGGTCACACATCAGAGCAGCCAAGGTCAGCCTTCTCTATGGCACGGACGTCCACACTCATAGGTCAGAGTATCAAGCAGCATGAAAAGCCACCTATGACCTTTGATGTGGAATACGTCAACATCGGGGGGCATTTCAACAAAACCTCCGGCCTGTTCACCTGCCAATACCCAGGCGCATACTTCTTTGCCTTCACTGTGGGGAAACACCCTCGTAAGGCTGTTTCTGTGAAACTGATGAGCGGGAAGGGCGAGGTGCAGGCGATGGTGTTTGATGAGGACACGTCGAAGAGAAGGGAGATGCAGAGTCAGAGCCTGCTGCTGTCTCTCCGTCGGGGCGAGAGTGTGTGGCTGTACAGTCAGCAGGATGAGCGCTACGCTGTCTACAGCAACCAGGGGAGGTACACCACCTTTTCTGGCTTCCTGGTTTACCCTGAAGCAGAAACACTCCCACTTCCCACCACCCAGGACAGAACTCAACGCTAAATGTCTTTACCCTTCATAACAGAGTCTGATGTTTCTGTAGAAGATCTGTTTATTATTTCTTTGTAGATCGAGCATAAGAAGAATTATGTGGTCAGTATGGTGTTACTACGTTGGTACTGCTTTGTTTGTTTGCTTCTGTAACCCTATAATGTAACTCATGGGAGGATATCTGTTGCCAAATTACGCCACAAGATGGAGCTGTAATACAATAAAGGACATTAACCTGCATGCAACAGGGTTATTTATGCCCTTGAAGTGTAATTAACTGTAAGACATCACAATAAGAAAAATATATTTTAAATAACAACTCGTTCATTAAGTAATACAGTTGGGTTTTTGTTTACAGACGTATTTACTTGTATTGTACTTAATTGTTTTAAATGGAAAAAATAGTATTGCCTGTTGAGAAATATTGTGTAAATGATGTAGTTTATTCAAATCTGCTCACTGTAAAAAATAGATACAGATGGGAGTGGTGTTCATTTAAGTCATGTCATTGATGTAGTATTACGAAATTCAATTGAAGATATACCTGTATCTCTTGTGATGTTTTTATTTCAAGAAACTAAATAAATGTAAACAATTTACTGAATTCACAAGGTCTTGTTTCTTATGCTAATGACATCATTTCTTACATATTGTTCAAATTACCGGTCTGTTTAATTGACATGTCTGCACTAAAATGTAAAACTGATCAATTATTTGTTACTTTAATATGTACACAGTACTGCTTTCTACTGTTAGCTCTCCATGCCTTATGGTGTTGCTGCTGCACCTTGCATCAGTGCTACAACACTACATTGAATATCGACTACAGCAAATAAAAGCAGTATACAAAAAAGGAAGTTGGATAAGAGTCAGCAGCAAATCGTAAATATCTTTTAATTATCAAAAATAAATTATCTGTGCAACAACACAGTTATGCTCCTGCATTTGAGGTGCATTACTGATACCCCACTGAAATGAAATATCAGCTCTTAAAAGCACTGAAATGTTGGCATAATAAGTCATTTCTTGTTAGCTGTTGCAGGTAATATATGGGACCTTCATCAGTCTAGGGTTAGCTATTGATGGTGTAACATTCTGCCCATATTATTTGAGGAGTTTGAGCATGATTTAGCTCAGTTCAATTAGATTAAGTTAAATAGAGTAAGGGGGGGACAAGAATACAAAATGTTCAGATGTACCAACTGTTATGTTTGTACATGTACCCCTTAATAGTGAAATAACAGGTCTCAAGAATGTTCTAAAGTAAACCTTTTTCCTGTTAATATTGTACTTCTGGCTTCATTGCACTGGCTTCCAGTTCGGTTCAGAATAGATTTTAAACTCCTTTTATTTGTTTTTAAAGCCCTAAATGGGCTGGCTCCTGCCTATATAGCCGAACTCCTCCATCGCTACACCCCAGGCAGAGCCTTAAGGTCGGTTGATCAGCTGTTGTTGATAGTGCCTAAGACCAGGCTTAAAACTCGAGGGCAGCGGCTGGCCCTAGGCTCTGGAATACTTTGCCCCTCCATGTGAGGTCGGCCCAGACCCTGGGGGTTTTTAAATCAACACTTAAAACTCACTTTTTCTCTCTGGCTCTTGTTTAATTATATATTTATTCATTTAGTTCTTTATTTTAATATTTATAACATAACATAGGATTTCATAAAGTATTTTAAAAATAGTTTATACATTATTCAAATATAGGAATAGTAGATAGGATTACTTAAAATATAGTACCTTATATTTCATATTTTTTCCCTTTTGACCTTTGCGGTTTATTCTTAAAAATCCTTACCCTTACACACCCCCCATTTTCCCTCTGCTGGTCTATGGCCTTGTAGAGGGTAACGGGGTACAGAGTCGCTTGGATAAGCGGGGGAGTGCATCTGACGAAGAGATAGGTTGTTGTGCTCCCTATCTCTATTTCTTATCCTATATCTAATAGAACTGCTCGGGTCTTGATAGATTGAGTGGGGAAGTTCATGAGATCTTTCTAGAGGGTTATCAAGAATAACTTTTATCCAATGACCTTTTCCCTCTCTGTCTGTGTCTGTGTATTCTCTTGTTCTGATTAACCCAGCCAAATCTTTTTTCTTGTTTTGTATCTATATCTACGCCGGGATCCGGAGTCGAGGCTGATCCTCTTGCTGTAGTCCTGTGTCTTGGATCCTCTATCCTGAGTTCTGGATTAAGTCGTGGACTTCGGGTCGTGGCTGAACCTGTCTCTGCGGTCCTGCCTTGGGTCTCGTCATGCTGCTTCCCTGATGGCTCCCACAGGATTGTAGCTGACATCCTCGTGGATTAATCTTCTTATTACAGACACATGCATTTCCTAACATTCGGTCTATATGCTGTCAAATGTATTATCTCTTCGATTTACACACGATGTGTCGTCCTACGTGCACGTATCTCTTGTGCACTTTGACTGTCAGCTAAACACCTTCCACCATCAAGGACTAGAGACCGTAGATGTCATTTAATCGCTTTTAATCATGAAGAAAGGGTGAAACTAGGAAATAAACACAATACAAGAAGTACATAAATATGCGGAAGAATATTTACACACATTATACGTTGAATCGACACCAAAGAACATACACACATGTGGCTGTAGCACAAAATTGTGGCTGTGGCTAACGGTAGTTCTACAGAGGAATTTACAACACACATTAACTATCATCTCAAAACTATTCTCTATAAACATATTCATTGTAAATGAAAGAACACTACGTTTATATCAATTGTACATACCAATAATGCGACCAAAGGCACGGAACGTCAAGGATTAGGGCAGATTGTGGTCACCAAAAAAACATGTGCCTGTCCTGTTCACATGCAGCTTCCTTATGCACTAGGTCACATGGTACATATTTTACACATTACGACTACCGCCAGCAGGAGGAGACAAATCCAACGAATGAACAACAATGTCCTGATGAGGACAGAACACTCCCTGCCTGGTATCTATTGATAACACCCATTAACTTGGCTTCTAAATATCAATGTTTGAATGTCACTACTTGCTCTTTTAGTCTTCCTCAGAGAGAAGAAGGACTAAGTCTGTAATAGGTCTGAGGAAAGGCTTAGCACCATCTTCTCTGATGATCTTGACCTCTACGATGTGGACCTTTTTCATCTTTGCCCGGGGATGCCTTGGTGACCAATGCCAATGGCATTGCCTCTTTGCTTGAGAGTCTTTCACAAGAAAAATAGTTTCAACATCAATGTTTGGCTTGCTTCTGTGCCACTTACTCCTTGTCTGCGAAGTTGAGAGGTACTGCTTCCTCCATTTGCTCCAAAAGGCATCTGCAAGGAATTGAACTTGACGCCAGTGACGCTTGTACAGGTCTTTGGGGGTGAAATCCTCTGGAGGAGTTGAGAAGGTACCTTTCTTCTGTGTGAGTAGGGTAGCAGGGGTCAGCACCAATGGATCTGGAGGATCGGTGGATATTGGACCCAAGAGTCTTGTGTTCATGATGGCCGCTACTTCTGCCAAAAGGGTTGTGAGAGCCTCATGTCTCTCCACACGGACGCTGTCAATGTTTGAAGGAACCTGGAGCTCCTTGCAGGCTCTGTGGAAATTGGTGCCTCTATCCGAGCGGATATGCTTTACTGGACCACGTATGGAAATGAACCATCTGAGGGGAGAGAGACGTTTAAGGTTATGTGATCGGTTGTCTGGACGATGTCGCCTCTGCCTCTTGAAGGGGGAAGGGGCAACCCAGTTGTTGGCATCATCCTTTCGGAACCCTTGTTCCATGGTCTTTATGAAGACCTTGTCTTCAATCGAGGGAGATATTTTGTTATCTTCCTTAGATCTTTGGAACACTGTACACCCAAGATGGTCTTCACCTTTGTCACAGGCAGTGTCATCACTGAAGTAGCTCTTTGTGGGGTAAGTTGACGTAAAGTAGCTGTATCTTTCTTTGATGAGGAGGCGATTCGGACAAGGTTGAAAGAGAGATGGACGACCGTTCTCTAGCGTGCTTGTGAAGAGAGTGTTCACCATGGATGGCTTATGAACATTTCCCAAACAGACGTCTCCCACGATGACCCATCCTAGGTCGAGCCTCTGAGCATAGGGTGCATCGTGAGGACCATTGATCTGTTCCCGCACCTTGTGTACTCTTATTATGTCCCTTCCAAGGAGAAGGAGTATTGGGGCTTGGTTGTCCATCTTAGAAATCTGAAGAGCTATAGATTTCAGGTGTGCGTGGTGGAGCGCAGCTTCTGGAGTGGGGATTTATGATCTGTTGTTAGGAATCTGGTTACACTCAATTAGCGTAGGGAGAGATAGACAAACCTGCCCATCGAGAGATTCGATTTGGAAATCACTCGCTCTTCTTCCAGCTGTCTCTACCACTCCTGCGCATGTCTTCAGTGAGTAAGGTGACTTGGGGCCTTGTATCTTGAAAAGATAAAAAAACTCTGGTCGAGCAAGTGACCTGTTACTTTGATCGTCGAGGATGGCATAAAGCTTTAGTGCTTTGTCTGGATAACTTGAGTGGAAGACTTTAACGAGACAGATCTTGGAACATGACTTGCCGCTCAGGTCCCCACCGCAGACACTGGTACACAGGGCTGCAATGTTGGCAGGTGTACTTTCATCCTCCCCGCCATACTCTATGGCAGGGTCTGTGGCCTTCCAGGTTGGGGGTCCTGGATGTAGGGCTGTGTTGTGACTTTCACTTTCGCACTCTGCAAAGCAAGCGTCAAGTGCTCAGTTTCGGGCAATATGAGATGTTGAGGCGCAACATCTGTAACAGATCCGATTTTCCTTAAGAAAGGCCTTACGATCTTCAAGGGATTTCTCTCTAAATCTGCGACATTTTTGTAGAGGATGAGGTTTCCTATGGATAGGACACTGTCTGCCAGGCTCCTCAGTCATCTTTTGAGTCATCTCTGTATCGAAGGGGGAAGACACGTCGGTATTATGGACTGAAATAGTTGTTCTATTATTGCTTTGCTTGAAGGCAGGCGTTTCTGAGTAAGACAGGGTATTGTTGAACATGGTAAGATCAAAACTGGGGTCATTTCTTGTCATTGCTTGTTCACAGACAAAGTCCACAAAGAAGGAAAATGGTGGAAATGGTACACCGTTTTGACGTTTGTATCTGGTGCCCTCACTTATCCATCTCTCTTGTAGGTTGTATGGTAACTTTTGTGCAATGGGGTTGACGCCACGTGAGGTATCTAGAAAGGCGAGGCCCGGTAGATCTCCCTCAGCCTTGGCAGAAAGAACCTCCATCAACAGATCGCCCAGCTCTCTCAACTTCTGAAATTCCTTGTTCGTCAACTTGGGGAACCCATCAAGTCTCTTGAAGAGTGAGCTCTCAATAGCTTCTGGTGATCCGTAACAGTGTTCCAGTCTTTCCCACACCATGGCTAGCCCTCTTTCAGGTTGGTTCACATTCACTGCTCTGATACGCCTTGCATGACCAGCAGACTCATTTCCTAGCCATTTGACTAGCAGGTCCATCTCTTTGCTAGCCGATAAGTCTAGGCCTCTGACTGTCTTAAAAAACGAAGCTCGCCAGGCTCTAAAGTTTTCTGGACGATCGTCAAATTGTAACAATCCTGTGCTGACAAGTTTGCGGCGAGCAAAGAA